TCGAATGCACGGAGAGGCGGGGGAGCCGCGGGAGGAGCTGCTCTCCCCGGGGCAAGACGCCGACCGCTTTTACAGGGGCATTTTGGAGCCCGACAAACACTCCTCCTCCTCCTCCGCGCTGGGCGCGCCCGGCTCCCCCCTCCCCGACTACCCCAAGCTCCCCGCCGCCTACACCTACTCCCCCAGCTACGACCTTCGGCGTGCCCACCAGTACTTGCACCCGGGGCCGGGGGACGGCAGGCTCCGGGAGACGGTGCTCTACAGCCCCCCCAGTACTGTCTATGTAGAGCCCAGCAGGAACGAGTACCTGGAGCTAAAAGCAAAACTAAACGCAGAGCCGGACTACCTCGAAGTGCTGGAAAAACAGACCACGTTCAGCCAGTTCTGAGAAAGAGCCCCCCCCCCGCCAGCCACAGCAGCTCCTTCTCTAGAGTATTTGTATTTAACAACCACACGCAAAACAAAGAAACGTAAATGCTGACCTCCCCCCCACCTCGCCCCCCGCCTTTTCCCCCCTTAATTCATTTTATTGTAGGGTGAAGTGCCTTGGCACGGGATTTTTCAGCTTCGGGGAATGATTCTGAAAGGGTGTGCTGTTTATTTTATTTTATTTTCGGGGGGGGGGGTATCTTCTTGTTTTTTCTTTCTTTTTTTTTTTTTTTCCTCCTTTTACTGTGTTTGGAAGTAGGAAACCACCTATTGTATAAATCGTGCACAGCACTGGCATTGTGCGTGTGTCCACGTGTGCTTGGGGGAGGTGGCAGGAGGGTCTTGTCAGGCCATATTCAGGTTACAAGTACAAAAGTCACGGTCACTTTTTTTTTTTTTTGCGTGTGTACAGGCATTGTTTAATTTTGCTTTCTTTCTGGTTGACGAGTACAGCGCACATGTTTCCCTTTTAGCCATGGGTGAGTCTAAATGGCTTTTATGGAGAGATTAGCACACCCCGACTTTAATACAAGGTTTCCTTTTTTTAAGGATGTGTTTGTATGCTTTCTGGACTTTTGAATTAAAAAATATATTATGATCTTTAAAAGGATCACTGTAGATGTGGACAAATCATTAAAGAGTGCAGAGATATATGATCCATAACTGGTTAGTGAAAATAACTTATTGATGAAATATAAAAAAATATTTTATTGTAGCACCTATTTTTATATGCACATTAGCATTTCTCATTCCTTCACTATTTTAGGGCCTAATCCTGCAAATTCTTACTCACTTGAGTATCCCTACTTGTGAAAGAAGTCCCAGCTTAGGCCTTGATCCTGCAGGCACTTAAGCACCTCAACTTTACCAATGTGCGTAGTCCCGTAGACTCACTCATTGAGCAAAGTTAGTCAAATGCCCAAAAGATTAGGATAGAGGATGCAGAACTATTCTTACAGGTAAAACTACTGGGATGTTTAAGTGTTTCTTCTGTTTTCAGGATGGGGTCCAAAGTCTGCAGATTGCTTTAAAGTGTTGCACTACATTGAGAGCTTTTTTTCCAAAGCTGATGTAGTATCAGAAGGACCTTTTAAATCATTACAGATAATGCCAATTATGACCAAATCTTAACAGACAATCTAAGACATGAAATCGAATCACAATAGAAAAAAATCATGTTTCTCTATTTGAAAATGTACCTTTTAGCAACCTCCTGCTCAGGCACCTGGTTGGCCAAACTAGTGAGGGACATGTAGAAGGCATTCATTTTAGCAGGAAAAAAGAAGTGTTTCATTTTTGATTTGTCAGTTTTCTTTTTTTTGTTTGTTTCTTTTTTATTAGTTAACCAAAATATAATGATTTTACAACTGTTGTAGCCAGTTTCTGATTGTTTAGTCAAGTACAATTGCACTTGTACAGATCCACATGTTTACTGGCATCCTGAAAGACCAAATGATGGACTGTACACATCTATATACAATGTCTTTACCCCTTTGGGCAGCAGGCAATGGCAAGGATATTCATAAACACAGCATCACTGTAAGATGGGACAACTGAGGTCTCATATGTATCCCAGCACATGTGATTTTTTAATAGTTTCTGAATAAACACTTGATAAATATTTCAAATGTAAGATCATGAAGTAATGAGTATCTGGAGTTTCAAATTTCTTGCCAAAATCATCTGTTTGTACGTTGGATTCTCTTTACTAGCAATTATGGCTCATCAGAAAGATCTAACATTTTTAGGCAAAACATAACGTGTTCTCTATTTTCAAAACACAACATACGGTACTTCCCAGCATACATAACATGGGTCAGAGGGCAACACAGGGACATGCGTTTCACCAACATATTGACTAGGATAGTTTCATATTTACATTTTGTTTCCTTACTGAAGTGTTCTTGAATATATGGAACAGGGTAAGTGATTTCATGTGTGGTTTTGTCTTTCTTCAGTAGGTTATCATGTTTAGTATTGTTTGCAGAGTTGCCACCAGTACATCTTTTATTGCAGAAGGGCTCTGTTCTGTTCTGCTTTTCCTATCCAACTACAATCTGTCACTTTCTACAAAAACAAAGCTATATAACTGGTCTGTTAGAATTCAAGATGAATGTTTTGTTGGCATGTGTTCTTCCCTCTCTGCCACCCACACTGAGCGAAAGCAAAATCAAAAAAACCAAAAAGTATGACTGTATTTAGCTTGGACAGTTTAGTAAGTGGAATGTTATTTCAGTTTGAAATGCAGATATGAGGAGTGTTCTTTTGTCACAAGAGACAACATGTGGCTATTCTGTGCACTGCTGTTGATCTCCTGCAGACTTCCCATTGACACTAGCGAGTGATATGTGTGTTGCTGCCTGAGGTGCAGTTTTGGAGCCCTAATTTTGAATTACTGCCTTGATAACTATTGCTGAAACCAGTGGCCTGGTTCTCCTTCCATTTAAACTCAGCAGAGGCACGCTGTTGTTAAGTGGGTATAGGGTAAGAAAATTTTCAGCCTCACTGGCTTTGTCGTTCACTAAGAGAAGGGCTAGCTCACTAAAGATTGAATGAGAAGGTCCTGCAAACTATGTGTCTGTTCCTGTGTAGATATGTTTTTTTCTGTGTGATTCTAAACTGATAAACAGGAGTTTGCATAGGTGTCAATACAAATGTAGGATTAGGTCCTTAATGTGAAAGGTACATTTTACATGGCATTCTGCCACAAAGAGGCAGCATCCACAAATGAGTAAATGAGCAGGAATTGCTTGGATTTGTAAGAAAGAGCTGATAGAAATGCCTCAGCAGTCTGTTTATGCTTACATTCTGATGCTGCCATTTCTGAGGCCAGTAGTATTGCTGCTTCCATGTTTTCTACACACACTTAATAACTGGTAATGAAGAATTTTTCTAACAGTCTACACTAAAATCAGAACAATTAATTTAAATCTCTTCAACGTCTCATCTACAGTAGAAAAATATATTATCAATTCCATTATTGGAGAAAAAAAATTAAATGGTATCAATTACCTTCAGAAAGTGCATTCTTGAACATAAATCCTTAAAAAAGGATACAGAGTGCAAAATAATATTATTTAGTCCATAATTATCCTGAAACACACCTGAAAGGGCTATTTGTGAATGACGACTTTAATGGAAGTAGGATTTCCTACTCAGTGGCTACAATGATAAATCATCTGTGGAAAATTATAGTAAGCCCAAAGTAGATGGAAATATGACTTGGAAAAGGGACATATGCCTCTGATTTGAAAACAGGATAATTTGTTTAAAGAAAAAGCACTTGTATAAGAATATGACCTTTGTTTTGTTAGCAAGATCAGTGAAACCTTCTGCATGATGATCTGCTGAGTTAGTGCTGACCAAAGGGGTAAAAGTGTAAGACAAAAAAATAATCCCTATTTTGAGAATTCTGAATATTATTTTAGCTTTTTATTATTTTATTTCAAAAGTGCATGAAATTCTGTGATAAAAGAGGAAAAAAGGTGGAAGAGGATCCTAATTCTCAGTGTAACTACTAGAATCAAAACATGGATTGTGATAATATAGAACATTTATTCTTATGAAGTAAAAGAAATATTCACTGTACTTTCTTTTGTTTTTTTCATATCGTGCCAATTTAATGTCCTAAATACTAATGCTGAGTTTAGGGGCGAGATATCTTTTTCTCTCTCTTGCTCTCCTTTTTTCTTTTCTTTTCTTTTCTTTTCTTTTCTTTTCTTTTCTTTTCTTTTCTTTTCTTTTCTTTTCTTTTCTTTTCTTTTCTTTTTTCTTTTTCTTTCTTTTCCTCTCTTCTCTTCTCTTCTCTTCTCTCCTCTCCTCGCCTCTCATCTTTTCTATATTACATAGTTTACTCCCATCTTTGATAAAATGAGCTGAATTTCAACTGGTTAATCCCAGAAGATATACCCTGTAATTTCTAGACATTCTTACACACTACTTGAAACACCAGATGCTATGTCAGTCCCATCACCAGTTGAAAGTCTGACATAAATGCAGCTTCCACTTTTATACTTCTAGAGCTCAAATTCTCACACTTTTTTTTTAGATTTACCTGCCATTATTTTAATGGTCACTTAAGGTTGTAAAAACACGTTCAGTTGATTCCGTATACTGCAGTATTTAATTTCTGAATGTTTTCCTAAGTTTCCACGTTTTATCAAGCTTATAGCTAATTGTTAGGAGTATTCCTATTAGGAAAACATACTAGATGTGGTGGTACCTTTTCTGATATCATATAATAATTTAACTCTTAAAGTAATATTACAAAATTTATGGTAAAATATCATTAAAAAATGAGCCTTTGACCCATGGAAAACACAATTTAGCAAATACCTCTGGAAAGGCAGGAATAGCTAATCATGGTTGTTGGTAAAATGTGAAGGTAACATCCTGGTTCTGTAGGTTGTTTAGACTTTTGTTTAGCTGGAGCTAAAATGTCTGACCAGCGTGTTGTGTGTTTCTTACAGAAACTTAAGAGTCTGCTTAATGCATATGGTTCCCTCTCAGGGGGCAGAGTCCATTAAGGCACTACGTCCTGAAGGACAGGGTAAACAAGAGCTCCTTCATTTTTAGAGGGCAGGTTCTTTATATTGCTCAGTGTCTCCAGGGAACATGAATAGCCCTTCATTAGGTTAAAGACCGGCATACTGAAACGCAGTGTCTCCAGCCTTTAGAGAAGGGGGCCAAAATCTTTGGTTGCCTTATGCAGAACTGAACGCTATTGGCACTACTGGCATTAAACAAGAAAAATGGGGAGAGAATAGAGAGTGAATGGCAGACAATTCCATAGCTGTCACCCTTCAAATGGTCTTCACATTTCTATTGATTATTTGATAGTACAAGTAGGGAACTTGTACCTCCTTTCTGCAGCATCCATTTACTCTGGAAAATGTAGAACCTCAAGCTAAGGAGTGATAAGAAGATGGAGTAGATGAGTGCGGCGGTTCTGTGAAAGGA